AGGCTCTGATTTCCCGCATAGTGTTTAATTGTCACGGTGATGCGGTGCACACCTGTCTGCTTCTTGTACCTGATTAAAACATACCCAGCGATGTTCACTGTGCGTTTTTGAGAGCTCCTCCGCGTCAGGTTCTCACTGCCTTATCCAGAATTTAGATTTTCACACTTCTTATGTTTCTAAGGAGAGATACTGATATTTATTAACAATATTTTTCAACATCTATTGAGATAATCACATGGTTTTCCACCTTTTGCTAAAGAACTTTATTTAGAGAGTTCCAAATTCCTTCATCTTTGGTTACAATTTTCTTTTATTTATACACAACATCATTCATTCAACGTATAGTCTTTGAGCACTTACTGGTCCCAGGCAGTGTCCTCGGCACTGGGGACAGAGTGGTGAACAACAGAGACATGTTCCTGTCCTGGCGGGCGCACACGTGCACGTGAGGCCATCATCCGGTCGTGAGCTCAGCCCTTTAGATGCCACTAGATGCGCTTTACTATTTATTCATGATTTTTGAACATAGGCATGTTGTTTTCTTTTTCCTTTTTCTCCTGTCCTCCTCTCCTCAGCACTGGTGTTAGGGTGACGCCAGTGTCACACAAGAAGTGGCTCGAGGCAGCTCAAGCCTCGTCAGTGGGGTGCTTATTGCCTGCTTGTTTGCGAGTGCCCACCTGCACTTTCATCTGGGCACCCACACTTTTTAGGGAAGATCTAGGACCACTTTAGAGTTTCTTCTGTTGTTATCGGTTGCTTGAGGTTTTTGGGGTTTTATTTAAATCAAACTTGGTAATACAAATGCAGACATTCACTTTTCAGGGTCTTTATCCCCAACGTCGTGACATTTCACAGTGAAACGCCCGTTCTGTCCTCACGGTCGGTACTCTGCGGCACTCTCCCTGCCGAACCCGGGTCATTCCGTGTTTCTCCTGCTGTTTTGTTCCCCTCTCTCCACTGGGGCTGTTTCTTCTAAGTGTATCATTTTCTCCTACTTTCTATTTTCCGGGTGATTTCCTTAACTTTATATTCCAAACCTTTACTGAACATGCCAAAGCTGCTATGTTTATTTTTTAAGAGCTCTTTTAAAAATTTTCCGGATGTTCCTTTTTACACAGAATCCTTCCCTTGTTTTACGCATGGAATGTCTTCTTTTCCTTTTCTGAGGATTTTGCTCTCATGTTCTGGAGGGATTTCTTCCCTACCTTACCTGTCCCTTCCATCTCCGGGTCCTTGCTCTGTGTTCACATGAAACAGGAGGTGCCACGGTGCTTTCGGAAGCTGCATGGGATGGGCGAGGCTGTCGAATGTAATCTGACAGCAGGCAGGGCTGCATCTTGGGGACCCGGCCTTCAGTAGCTTCAGGTCTTTCCTCCAGGACGGGTCACGTTCCATGACAGCTGTCTGTACACCTCTTCCTGGGAAGAAGCCAAGTCCAGGGGCCAATGTCATTGTTTTGCAGTTGGATTTCCATGCCTCCAGCATCGCTGGCTGACCATCGGACGGCCCTGCCACACTCATCTACTCTTTCCGTTGTTTAGAGGCAGAGTCTCACTCTGTCACCCAGGCTGGAGCACAGTGGCACGATCACGGCTCACTGCAGCCCTGATTCTCTTGACTTTGCTAATGGTTTGTGTTTTGCCTCCATAGTTGTTTCCACATGTGGCTAAATGCATCCATTTTTTCTTTTTATGGCATCTGGATATTGGCACTTGGTTCAAAAGGCAACCGCTACCCTATGGTTATAAAGGAATTTGCCCAGTGTTTTTTCTGGTACTTTTATGGTTTTATTTTTCTACATTTAAAGTTTTGACACGACACATTCAAAGTTTTTCCTGGTACTCAGTAAAAGATGAGGCTACAACTTTTTTTTTCTAGATACCTACACAGTTTCCCAGCATAATTCATTGAAAGTCCATCCTTTCCCCACTGGTTTGAGACACCATTTTCATCCTACGTTAGGTGTTTGTAGGTATTTCGGCCAATCTCTGGAGTTTCTGTTTGGCTGTGCTGTCATGTGTTGTGTGGCGAGGTCCCTGTTGCTGTGGTAACTGAACTGTGGTTGGAACTCACACCTGCTGGGCTGAAGCTGTCATGGCTATTCTTGCTTACTTTTCCTTTTTTTTTTTTTTTTTTTTCCTTTTTTTTTTTTTTTTTTTTTTGGGACAGAGTCTCACTGTGTTGCCCAGGCTAGAGTGTCGTGGCATCATCCTAGCTCACAGCAACCTCAAACTCCTGGGCTCAAGCGATCCTCCTGCCTCAGCCTCCCGAGTAGCTGGGACTACAGGCATGCGCCACCACATCTGGCTAATTTTTCCTATATATTTTTAGTTGTCTGGCTAATTTCTTTCTATTTTTAGTAGAGACAGGGTCTCGCTCTTACTCAGAGCTGGTCTCAAATTCCTGACCTCGAGTGACCCTCCTGCCTCAGCTTCCCAGAGTGCCAGGATTATAGTTCTGAGCCACAGTGCTTGGCCTTGTTTATTTTTCCTTGATCTTTGACCAGTTTGCTGGATGGAAAAAGACAAGCTTTTACTGTGATTATACTAAACTGCGAATGCCTTCAGGAGAACCGGCCATGCTGGTGAGTACTCCTCTCCAAGAAAACAGCGTCTCTACACGTTGTTCAAGTCTCTCTGTAATTCCCTGGGGGTGTTTTAAAGTTTCCCTCAAACAGGCTTTGTGTATTCGGTTTATTCCTGTTGTCAAGTGCAGACTGGCCTTTGCCATTTGTTTATCTTCCAGACTGTTGTTTATATCACACAGCCTACTGATTTCTGTGTGGTCACCGGTGCCCTCTTCCTGACCCATCTGTGGATAGGTCCCAGGCAATCATCCTGAAGGGACCGAGACAGACAGCTGCATCATCTCCAAGTGGTGCTGGCTTCCGTCTGGCGCCCCTGGGCTGCTCATTCATATGGGCTGCGTGCTGCAGTTAGCACGCAGCCGGTGTGCTTGATGGCTGCTCCTGTGGGCTCCCACTGGGGCTCCCACTGCAGCTCGGAGCTGGCTTCCTCCGCTCCATCCCCTGTGGTCTCCACCTCATGTTGGCTGAGCTCTTCCCCAGTTCTCCATCCTGTGGTTTCTGCCATCTTAAGAGTCTGTGGTCACCTCCACAGGACTGTCAGGAAGCACAAGTGCCCATGGCTGGAGCTCACATCCCTATTCCAGCTTGGACATTGGGGGTGGTCTCCTTCTTGGCCTCAGCCCAGGCCACTGCGCTCTGGAAGCATATGTGTGCCACCATGTGGCACAGACAAGCTCATCTCTCCTGAGCTCAGGCTGGGAAGGGGGAGGGACAAAGGACTTATGTTAGCCAGGTCAAGGGCTCCCTGGGAGGTGACACCTGAGAATGGGCTGTGGGGAGATCTGGTGAAGAGCACTGCATGCCAAGGGGTGACAAGGTGGACAAAGAGGAAAAACATCATGCAGGGTAAGGTCAGAGAGGGTGACCCAGTGCCTCCCTTAGGACCACGGCCAGCAGGTGACATCTCCCCCGTGGGCTGGAGAGCAGAGAGGGAGGAGGCAGAGGAACTTCACACAGGGGACCAATGCCCACGGGTGCCAATTCCCTGTTCTCAAACCAGAAATCTGCGAAGTCAGCAGACACACATCAATGCCCCTTTCCCACCCTGAGCCACCACCTCTTCCCTCTACTGCCCACCACCCCGCTGGGTCCTGGACCCCCACTCTCCTGCCTCCCAGCTTGTCCTCCACTCCCCCGGTACCCGTAGCCCCAAGTCCCTCTCTTGCGACTGCTAACGTGGCCCAGCTGCCCCTGCCTAAGAGCCGTGGGGTCGCTGTGCACCTGCAGAGTGTGGGTCCAATGCATCCCTACATCCCTGCCCCTCGGACACAGGGCCCTGCAGCTCTTCCCCACCCCTGTCCAGAATGGAGGCCCTGTACCAGTCCCTCCTCCTGAGCAGCCCTCGCCCCTGACATGTGCCATGTGTGTGCGTAGTCTGCATGCCTACCATGAGATGCAGGCCTCACAAAAGCTGTGAGGTCTGCTGATTTGTTCTCCACTGGTGTCTCAGCACTCAGCACCCCCGAGGGGGTTAAAGGCATTTGGGCCTGAAAGACGTGACTGGGAAGGCACAAGGTGGCCGAGGCAGGCAGCTGGGTGAGCCTGCTTTGTTTTCCCACTGCCTTTTTACGTAAATCTGTGACCTCAGCAAACGCACATGCAGACAGGCACACACACCCAAGTGTGTGGCTCAACGGCTCCCCACACCAACCTGGCTGCAAGACCAGCACCCAGACAAGAAGGCCCAAGGGTGCCCAGACACCCTTGGGTTCAACTCATCACAGCCCCAACCCATCTCTGAACCTCCCAAACATGGAACCACACAGGTGGGAGTTGGGCTTCCTTTGCTCATGGAGTGTCCCCCAGGGCTGCAGCAGCTGTGTCTGCCCCTCTCACCGCTGCCGTGGAGCAAGCTTACTGCTCACAGTCCAGCAACAGGTGGATAGGAAAGTTGCTTCCAGTTTGGGGCCGTCACAAGCAGCGCGCCTACAAGCACTTTGGTCATGATTTTCACTGACAAATCCTCCTCCTGACAGCTGACCTACCTGGCTGGGAGGGCACTGTCCCTGCCGTGAGGGTCTTGCTCCCTGTCCCTCCTTGTCCCACCCTCTATGGTGGGGGCAGTGATCACTCTCACTGGGCCCAGGGGAGGGCTGAGGCAGGTGTGCCCTGCACTCTCTTCCTGGCCTCAGGTGGCCCCTCCGCATGCCCGGCAGGGGCAGACGGCCCACAGGCAAGAGAGATGCAGGTCCACCTTGGTGCCCATCCAGGGCTATGGGGCAGAGAGCCCCCCAGGTCCAGTGTCTGCTTCTCATTAGTCCCGATTCAGCCTTCCCCTGAGGTCCAAGAGGCCGCTTCTCCACACCCACCACAACCAGCCCAACCCAATGCCAGCTCCTGGGGTTTCCAGACAGGAGGCTCAGATGGGATGAAGAGGGGAGGGTGGCCTTGGCTGGGGCTTCCTTCTGCTTACCCAGTCCTGGGTCTGCAGTCCCTGCTGAGTGCTGCTCTGGGCACCAGGCTGGCCCCGGGTGGCTGTCGGGCCCAGTAGGGGAAAGGGCTGCCTGTGCTCTTGGGACAGCTGCGACTCCGGTGTCTTTCTCTGGGAAGGCAGCTTCTGGCCATCCATCGCTACCCCTAGCAGGCAGCTTGTCTGCACCTCAGGGACTCTGGGGGAAGGAGCAGGACCCGGCGGGCGCCCTGGGCAGAGGGCGGAAGGGGAGGACACAGGCACTGACTGGTGGGCGTGGGCCAGTGAGCCCCGCGGCCGGCCCCTGGGGGCGGCGTGGTTACCCCAGCTCCCGCTGCGGCGCTTCTCTCTGCCCCCGCCCGGCTGCCTGTTCGGCTTCCCCCAGGACTCCCTGCCCGGCCGGCCGCTCGGCACACACCGCGGGTACGTCTCGGCGCCCTGCGGGGCTCGACGCGGGGGTGCGCGGGCCAGCGAGAGGCCGGAGCTCTCCCCGCCTGGCTGTTCCAGACCCCTGTGACCTCACCTCGACGCAGCCGGACCACGCCCCACGGCCCGGAGCGAACCCTTGGGGCCCGCCCTCTGCGGGGTCTGACCGCGGAGGGAGGGAGGGGCACACGGGGTCCCGAGGCGGGGCGGGGTCCGCTGTGGGCGCCGGCCAGGCGGGCAGCGGAGGGAGCCGCAGCGCTCCGGTGAGACAGGGGGCGGAGCCTCACGCCGGGACTTCCGCTTAGGCAGGCCCCGCCCCGCTGGTTCCGCTTCCGGCTGCGCGGCGCCTGCGCCCTGTGCTCTGCCTCGTGGGCGGGCATGGCGCCCGGTCCTTCCTGCCGTCTCTGCGGGCCAGAGGCGCGTCCCGACGGGGCTCGGGCTGGGCCGGGCGGAAAGAAGCGCGTGGCAGGGGCGTGGCCCGGGGAGGGCCCTCGGGTTTATCGTGGGCATCAGCACCTTAAAGCGGTCCCCGCGGTCACCTGCGGGCAGACGCGAGTCTGCTCCCCGAACAGCTGTTCACGTCCATCTTGTTTTCCAGCCGGAAAGAAAACGAGCAGCACGTGCTCTAAAAACCGACCGTGCACAGCGAGTCGCGCCAGGCCATGCGGTCGGGTCCCCTGAGAGCGACGGCGCAGCAGAGCCGCGTGCCCGGGGACCAGCGGAGGGGAGGGCGCCAGTGGGCCGGGCTGCAGGGTGGGGTGGTCTGCATTGTGTTGGACAGTGGCCGCCAGGCCATGACTGGGGACCGAGAGCCCCCGCCTCAAGGGTGCTGCTTCCTGTCCGTGGGGCCAGCTGCTCCAGTACCGAAGTCTGAGGGATGCACACACCTCACATACATGCACCACCTCCGCCTCATGGCCACACCGCCATCAGATGGCTTTGTCTTCTAGTCATCCTTTAAGGGGACAAAGTGCTTTTCTATGTACCCTCAGAACAGCTCCGTGAGGTCCGTAGCAGAAATGCCACCGCCCTGTTTAACCAATGGGAAAACTGAGGCACAGGGGGGTGAGCACAGCCCAGGTCTATGTCTGCCTAACTGCCCTGGCCCAGGGTGGGTAGGCCATGTGGTTCTCAGGTGCAGGACAGACCGACAGCTGAGCTCTGCAGGCTAGGGGTGCACAGGGACCCCCAGCTGCTGCATGGAGGCTCTGCCCATGTTCTCCCCTCAGGTGGGCAAAGATGGACATGTGGAACCCAATGGGGCACATGTGTGCCAGGGCTCCAGAAAAGGGCCTTCCCACAGCCCCACTGGGTCCCTTCCTCTAAAAGCTGCTCCAAGGTTAAAGCCAAGTCGAGGCAGTTTTCACTGTCTCTTTTCTACTGAGTGTGACCTTTGGGAAAGAAACCAAATGAGCAGAAAAACAGGCCCTGCAGCCCAGTGGAAGGGCCTGCAGGGACGAGCGTGCAGGTCACTTCTCTCTGAGCACAGCGCAAGTGGTGGCCGTAAGCCCGGCCTGTACCCCTACCCAGACCCTTCTCGGGACGGGGCAGGGCCTGAAGCCAGGATCCAGAGGGTCTTTCCCTCCAGGTGGGGCCTCAGGCTCCCAGTCCCAGGTGGAGCAAGGAGTGACAAGGAAGGCCCTTTGCTGGGGCCCTGCTCACAGCACTGCACCCCTGGTCTCGCCCTATGAGGCCTCGCCATGGACGAAATGACCCTGTCCAGCCACGGGGGGTGGGGGGAGGAAGAGCAAGTAGGTCACAGGTGAGAAAAGTGGGCCATCTCACACCCCACTGAGGGTGGGCACTCATTGGTGGCCTGCCTGCTGTTCTCAGCCTGCCCTGCACTTGGCACTGTTTCCCGAGCACAGCTGTGTGCAGGTCTCCACCCTAGGAAACCAGGCCAGCCCAGAACCCCTCGGGAGGGCCACATCTTTCAAGGGGATAAGAGCTGGGCAGGCTCTTCATGTGGATTCGCAGGGTCAGGCTTGCCAGGGAGGCTGGACTGAGGAAGCGCCCCTCCCCTGTGGGTTGGTGGGGGCTGTCACGATACCCCTCCCCTACTGTGTGCGAAGGCAGATGCCACCCAGGATGTGACCCAAAAGCAAACGATGCTCTGAGGAGTGAGACTTGGCAAGGCTCCCAGGCCCTGCAGGGGGTACCTGGCCAGGAGTACCTGGCTGCACGCATGGCTCTAAAGTGCCAGCCTCTCTGCTCAGGCCAACCTGCTCAAGCCTTCACTGACCATGTGGTTCCTGCAGATGACACACACACCTGGTGCACACACATGCGCCACAGCCCCAAATCTCAACCCACACGGCCAGCCCTGGATGTTCCCAGAGGGCTGAGGGTAGCTGTGGGAGGACTCAGGGGCCGGGCGTGGGGCCTCCACCTCAGACCTGCGCCAGCTGCCTGTTTCCTGGGCTGGACTCTTGGACACTTGCTGGGGCCATGTAGGGCCACGGAGGCCCTGCGCTTGTTAAACTGGGCAACAGCGTGGCACAGGAGCATAGTAGTGTCTTAAGAACAGCCAGAAGGCGCCGGAAGGTGTCAGGCTGGTGGGCAGGTGCCTGCTGGCTCTGCCCAACCCCAAGCGGACTTCAGAAGAGCAACATGTTTGGCAGCTACATTATAACATGTATTTAAAAGCATTAAAAATATCTGCTACTATAAAACCTCCGCCACGAGGCTGGAGTTTATTGGGAACCACGAGTGGGCGGTGCTGGGGGCGTCTCTCAGGCGGGCAGGGGCCTGGGGCCCAGGGCCGGGCTGACTGGCCTCCAAGGCTCACTCAGGACGTCCCCCACCAGGGGACTGAGTGGGCCCTGGGCTCCTTGGCATCTGGCCACCAAGCTCCGGGGCCTTGCCTGAGCCGGGCTCCCTGAGGAAGCAGTGTCTTGGCTTCCAGGAAGTGCAGGACACACAGGCAAGACCCCCCAGGCTGGTGAGGCTCTGGTGGCTCTTGAGGCCAGAACACCTGCCGCAGCTCTCAAGCTCGGCACTGTCCGTCTGGCCTCCCGGCCCCCCGCTGGAGCTTTCTGGTTAACAAGCAGAGCGGTCACTCGGCTCCCGGCAGGGAGCTCCCCGTTAGTTTCCAGGTTGTGAGCACATTCAGACTTGAGACTGTTTGTCTTTGTGTTTTAAGTGTTTGTCTCTGTTGTAAACTGAAATGTTAGCAGAAACGCAGCTGGGCCCTCCTGGTGCAGTGGCCACCTCGGGGCCGAACGTGGGCCCCTCGGCCGTCTTGCGCTGGCCCCTCGGTGGGCGGAGCTAGACGGTGGCCTTGGAGTGTCCGAAGATGCAGATGGGGAAGTGCTTCACGTGGGAGGACCACTGGGCGGCCAGCTGGAAGAACTTGACGTCGCTGCACTCCACACCATCGATGAGGACTGCGGGAGAGGGCTGCCTGACCGCCCGCCCGCCAGACCTGCCCGGCCCACCTGGCGGGGTAGCACCTGGATGGGTGGGCGAGCCAGCTGGGGCGCAGGGTGAGGAGGAGCCCACTGCCAGGGGCACCAACACCCTCGGGGGCGCCCGGCCCTCCCACTTCTCAGCCGCGGTGGGCCTGTGTCCCAGGGCTGCTTGTCCACACCCCCCCACCCCCCGACCCCGGTGTTCAACAGGTGCCGGGGACCAGACACCACACACCCCGTCAACGCTCTCCACTTAAAACAGAATCCGCCTGGGGAGACCAGGGCAACCTCCACCTTGAGGGCTCGAGCTCATACGAGGAAAACCCCTGAGAGCTCCATTTCTGAATCAGCCACTTGCAGAACAGCTTCTCTACCAACACTTTGAAATACACAAATCAATCTTTTAGAAAAGCAGAAAGGATTGAAAATTCTCTCTCAGAATTTGAAAAGCTGCTGGCTGCACATCAGCACCGCAGCAGGGTGTGCTGAGCCCGCCACAGCACCACACAGCAGCTCCTGCGGCGGCTTTGGGTTTGTTTTGTTTTTTTAGAAAAGGTCTCTCCCCCAGGCTGGAGTGCACTAGTGCGATCGTAGCCCACTGCAGCCTCAAACTCCTGAGCTCACCTGATCCTCCTGCCTCGGCCTCCCAGTCTGCTGGGACTACAGGTGCTGTCAGTGTACCCGGCTAATTTTTTAAGTTTTGTAGAGACAAGCTCTCACTATGTTGCCCAGGCTGGTCTCACACTCCTGGCCTCAGCGATCCTCCTGCCTTGGCCTCCCAAAGCGCTGGGATTACAACCATGAGCAACTAACTGTGCGTGGCTGTGTGGTAAATTTTTAAAGGCATCTCATGTCTGCTCTGGTTTCCTTTTGCATCTTACAGACAGAATGGAAGGGCCCCGGGTCGAGGGCCCGTGCTCGCAGGGGCCCCGTGCTCACCCCGTAGCATGTTCTGCTGGTGCTTGGCCGTGCATATCAAGCGGCTGATGCCCTCGATGCACTGGCTTTTGGACTCCACGTCCTTGTCCTTTGTCTTCTTGGGCAGAAACATCACTAGGAGGAAAAGGCCTGGCCGTCGTCTCGTTGCTCCTGCGGGGCCAGGCTGGCCGGAGGCCCTGTGCAGCATGGCGGGGAGCGCAGCGGCCCGAGGGGGAAGGAGAGCTGCGGGGGCTCTGCCGGCCACAGCCGCGGACCCCCGCTCATCGGGGGAGCTGCCCTCCTGCCCCAGGCTCTGGCTGGAAGTGGCCCCAGACCCCCAGCGCCCTGCGGGCTCGCACTTGCTGCTGCCACCTGCACTAGGCCAGCCCAGCCGCCCCCACCTGCCACTCAGCCACCTGCCTCACCCTTCTTGTTCTTCTCCTTGGTGACCACGGTCATGGACATGGTGGGCGTGGCCGCGGCCTCGCCACTGCTGGGCAGCCGGCTGACCTGGAGGGACCGGAAGGTGCACTTGAGTGTGCTTTTGGCCGTGGGCAGGTCCTTCTTCTCGGCGTCTCTCTTCCTGTCTGCGGGCTGTGCGGCCGTCCAGTAGTCCACCTGCAGCCCCATCAGCTCGGCACCGACACCCTGGCTGGGGAGGCAGAGGGAGGTGCTCACGGATGATCCCCAGTCTTTGGTCCTAAGGACGCAGCGTCACTGTCCCCGTCACAGGCCACAAGTGACAGCCAGCACCCAGCCCAACTTCCCGGTCAGCCGAGGAGTCCAGTGCTTGGAGTGGGCTCTGTGGAGCCCCCTGCATGTCCAGGTCACCCAGGAGTGTCCCACACAAAATATAGGGTGCCCGGCGGCAGAGCTGCAGCTTAGGGGGCCGCCCACAAGCTCCCACGCTGCCCCTCGGAGTCTGGGGTCCCCGGTGAGCCGGCCCCTCGAGAGGCGCAGCCTGGTGCGAGCCCTGGACTGCGGGCTTGGCTTAGTTTGGGCGAGCTCCACTACAGAGGCCTGGGCCTGGGGGAGCCTCAGCACGGCTGTCAAGGCCGAAGACCGGAGACCCCATCGCCTGTACCTCTTGCCTCGGCTTGTTCTTTAGAAGCCCCAACCGGTGCTTTCTGTGCCCAGCACTGCTCGGCAGGAGGCACCTGACCCCACCTGGCTGTGTGGCAGGAGACGGTGGCTGGGCCGGGCCGTCCTGCGAAGCCCAGGCATGACCTCTGCCTGCCCCTGCCCCGGGGCCAACAAGCCAGGTGCCTCAGGAGGGGGCCGTGACTTGGGGAGTGGAGGACAGGCAGGCAGCAGCAGGGGTGGGGGGTTGGGCGAGAAAACGAGAGCTGAGCCTCGCGGGGTCCTTTACCTGGGGGAGGACAGGCCCCCGCTCACCGACGGGGACGAGGGCGGGGTGGGGGAGGCCTCCTTGGCCGCGGGAGATGTGGACGGTGGGGTGGAGGACAGCACACCAGGACCCGAGGGGGCTGCATCGTCCGAGTCTCCTTTGGGGACGAGTCACAGGGGAGGGGGTGAGCCCACCCACTGCTCTGCCCAGGCAGCACCAGGCCCTGGGACAAGAGGGGACAAGGAGGCCAGGCAGCGCCTCCAGCTGGCAGGGCAGGTCCCCAGGTGGCCCGTATCGAGGCGCGAGTCTCACTTTCTCCTCCTTGGCTTGGGAAAGCCGCCTGGCCTGCCTTGGTGTGGGGGCCTCGTGAGGACAACGGCTGCTCCCCGCAGGGCCACCCCCTCACCACGGGGGCCGCTCCCCCACGCCGAGCAAAAGCACCATGGTGAGGCCAGGGACGGGGCTGCTGTCAGGCCACAGGGCCAGGCTGGTCCCCGGAACAAGAGGACGGTGCTCCCAGGGCTCAGGGCACCCCCACTAAAGCGCTGGGACCACCTGACCCCAGGGCCTCAGGGTGGGACAGGGTTACCTGACGTGGCCGAGGATGGCTCCACAATTCCAACCTTCACAACCTAGAAAAGCAACAGGTGCTGGCTGGTGGCAGCCGTGGGGATGTCAGCCAGCCCCCACGCCCTGCCGGGCTGGGCTCCACCCTGGGGCTCAGACCCAGGCAGGCTCCTGCCTCCCCTCAGCTGCCCGGCCACCATGCCCACGACGCAGGTGCTGCTGGGGTGGTGCCGGTTGCACCCTGTCCGTCCGGCTCAGGGCAGCATGAGGGGTAGACCAGACTCCGGATGCTCGGCCTCAGCAGCAGGGACTGCCCTCTCCCGGCGGCCGGCCCTAGTGCAGTGGCAAACCACGTGCCCACGTGACTGGCCAGGCCCAGCTGTCCAGCAAGACCAGGACACTGGCAGGAGGGACAGGCACAGCCAAGGCCCGGCTCAGAGGCAGGTGCCACTCCAAGAGCTGTGGGGCAGGGGGGACAGGGCCCCAGACCTGCCAGGTGCAGCGTGGGAGCCGCTGGCCACAGGTGGCGGTGCAAATTTTAGGTGAATGACAAAGACAAGTTGGACCTTGCCACACGGTGATGTCTTGGTGCCCGAGAGCACAGGCCTTGTCACCACAGAAGCTCCCTGGGCCAGGCTGCTCTTGACGAGTTCGCCCCTCCCAGAGGCCAGCAAACCCGACCACGGCACAGTGCACAGAAGACCCCTGTCCCACCGATGGGGACCCTGAGGCCCTGCCCCCACCTGGTGGCCCATCGGCCAGGCTGCCTGACGGGCTCCGCAGCCCAGACCTCAGCTGGACGGAGGACAGGACAAAAAGACGGGCAGGAGACCCGCTGTGGACACTCAGCTGGCAGGAAAGGAGCCCTCAATCCCCCGCAGGGCCGGAGCTGAAGCCTCCAGATTTGCGGCCACGACCCCAGACGGGGAACTGGCAAGGTCAGCAGCGCCCAGGCCTGGAGCCCCTGCAGGACCCCCAGCACGGGGCGACGGAGGTCTCCTCTCCCGAGAGGCTGGGCCGGGTGCCCCACGCCCAGAGCCGTGCTGAGACCCGAACCCTTGCCCCTGACCCGATGGGGTCTTTGCGCCCACGCGTCAGCTGCCTGGGCAGAGCTGGGGGTGCCAGTGACCCCTGGGCCCAGGCCCCATGCAGGGGAAGACAGCCAACTTGAAGATGGAAGGCGGTAAAGCCAAGTGCCCAGCTCAAATTCGTGAGGAAGCTTCTGGAATCCTTCAAATCAGTATAAAAACATTCTGATTTCAAAAGACACCTGGGCAGGTTAGTGGTTTCCCGAGCAAGGACAGCTGCAGCACTCACCCCGACGAAAGGAATGAACTTCTGCGAAGACTCTTCGTCAGGGCTGCGGGCAAGAAACAGGCGGTTACGCTCTCCGCATGCACGTGCACCCAAGCACGCGGCGTCCTGGGCACAGCCCTCCCCACCCACGGCCTGCCCTGGCCTGGCCTCCCCACCGACGCCTGGATCCTTCCAACACACTGACGGGGGACACAGGGACACAGGGAGGCCTGCGGCTGGGAGGCTGGGGCGGGGCCGCGGGAGGAGTCCGCGTCTCCATGCTCCCTGACGCCCAGAGCCACCGCTCAGGCCCCACCGAGCCCGTCACTCCCTGCACAGCTGGGAGAAGGGCCTGCTGCCTGCGCCCCTGGGACTCCCGGAACACTCTGGGCCTTCTCCAGCGCCTGGAGGTGGCCGCCCCACAGCCGGAGCGTGGAGGTTTTCTCCCAGACGGTCTGGGTAACGTCAGTGCCAGTGTGAGAGGTCAGGCCCTTGGCCGTGGTGACAGGGTGGCTGCTGTGCAGCCTGGAGACAGGCCCTGCCTGAGTGAGCCACCGTGCGCAGCACGCGGTGGAGGCTCTGTCTGGACGTGGCAGCCTCTCCTGCAGTGCGGTCACAGCTGTCCCCCGTGAGGCTGCCCAGGGCCGAGGGCGGGGGCAAGGACTTTGGAGAGGACAAGTCTGTCTTCCTCCTCTGGTGCATGCGGCCCGAGCAGCGGCTAGACCTGCGGCCACCTCCACGGCAGGCCCCCACTGACCAGTCTTCCCTGCGGCCAAGCAGCTCTCCCACGAGACGAGGGCCCGCTCAGAGCAGGAGACTCCATCCACGGCTCGAGAGCGTCTCCCTCCAGGCTCTGGAAAGGTCCACAGGGCAAGGCCGGTCCTGGGCAGCCTCCTCCACCTTCTTCCCCTGCTTGGCCTTGGAGCCCCCCGTGGCCGGCACCTGGGGACAGAGGTGCCTTCTGCCCTACGTCCTGGGGCGGATGGTGCTGACAGCTGGCACTGTCTCCAGGGGCAGTTCTGCCAGGCCCGCTTCTTCTGTCTCATTTCCCAAACGGTGACGTCTTATGCCAGCGAGTGGCGCTCCTGCAGATGGGGACTCTCTGGCATGTGCATGTGGTGCCACCGGAGCGGCAGAGGACCAAGGGACAGGGCTTCTCCCGGATCCCAGGCCGCAGGCGCCGCTCTGGGACAGTCCTGCGCTGGGTGCGGAGTGTGGTCAGGGTGTCCCCTGCGGGAAGTGGCCTCAGGAGGGCCCGACGGGCCGAGCGTGGCCACCTGCCCGGCACCAGCTCCCAGGACCAGCAGCCCCTCCCGCAGGAGCCCCGCGCGGCAGAGGCTATGCCCACAAGCTGAGCAAGTGGCCTTCACCCAGGGCCCGGCCCAGAACACGGGCCCGGCGTGCGGCCCTCCAAGGCTGGTCCCAGCAGGTGTTCCCGTCCTACGGCAGCCAGCAGGGCCTGCCCTCCTCTGGGTGCCCCGGACACCAGACCCGTGGCAGAGCCCTCGGCACCTCCTGCCCCACCGAAAAGCCAGCGCCTCTGGAGGAAGCCACGTGGGGTCCTGTCCGTGGCGCTGCGCAGGCCCGGCTCCCCAGCCTTCCCTTTGTCGCTTGGGAGAATAGGGTTGAGGGACGTTTTCCTTCTTCATTTCAAATGACATAAAACTATGTGAACCCCCAGCCACGCCCACCCCGCCTGTGTCCAGGCTGCTGGCAGGAGTGCTCCGGCGAGGCCATTGGTGTGGGGGTCCCGCTGTCCCTTCAGGCGGGTCTAGCCTGAGCCCCTCCAGGTATAAGAGGTCACAGAGGGCAGGCAGGCGGCTGCTGGTGCCCAGTGGATGGGCAGCCCCCATCCCCAGGGCCACCGCCCTCTGCCGAGCCAGACCCCCCAACACACGGCACAGCGGCCCCTCGTCCATGCTCGGCTGAGGGCCGATGCGGGAGCCGCACGACACGGGACGTTGCTGGAACTTCCAAGCCAAGCTGTGCCTCTGGGCCATGCAGACAGCACCCAGCACTGGACATGGGCCGGCGTGACAGGGGTGACACCGCAGGCTTTGAGACCCACCCAGGGCTTCTGCACGCCCTTGGGGGACAGGGCAGTCGGAGTCTGGCTCGAGGGAACTGCCCAGGGCAAGGAGGGCCGAGACGCCCGGGGGCTGCTCGGTGTGGCCCAGGGGCTCTGCCCAGACCCCTGAGAGGCGCTTTCGCCGACTCGAACGGGCCCTGATCTCAGTCCCGGGCAGTCTGTGCTGGGGACGGGGTAGGTGGGGACGCAGCCCCGCAGGTGCTCCCAGGGTGAGCCCAGGCTAGAGAGGGGCCGGCAGGCGCCGGGCAGGACTCTGCTCAGGTCCCCTGCCACGAGGGCTGTGCCCTCTGCCCGCCCCCTACCGGCGCCCGGCTGACCACGCCGGGTGGACGGAGGCGTTCACCGAACCAGGCAAAGGCTGCCGCTGCCCCACCCGCACTCTGGGCCTTCACCAGGCTCCGTCCAGTGCTCCCGCCCGCCACCACCCGGGGGCTGCTGTCACCACTGTCACGCAGAGGCAGGGGTGGGGACACGGGGGGAGTAGATGCCAGATTCTCCTGAAGCCCCGGCTTGCCACGTGGACGAGCCAACCCTGGGAGGGACGAGAAGCAGTGGCCTGGCGCCAAGGCATGCTGCAGGCTGGCGGAGCGGCGGCGCAGAGAGGCCCCCAGGGCTGGTCTTTCTCTCCCCTGCTAAGGCTTGTTTAGCGGGACTGACAGGGGCTCAGGCAGCCCCGGGCCTGCAGCACCTCCAGCAAGGAGGCCCCCCAGACCCGACTACCCTGTGCTGGGGGTGCGGGGGTGGGGCAGCTCTTCCCAGGACAGCGAGTGACTTAAGACACGGGGCAGAGAACGAGCCCCAGGTAGGGCGGGCACTGGCTGTACATGTGGGCGGGACACACCTGGCCAAGGAAAAGGGGGCTCCTGTTTGAATGGACAGCTGACAGCTCGGGGTGTCGGCTCGAAACACTCAGTCTCAGAGGGCAGAGCCATCCCAGGGCGCAAGGACTCCGCCCGTCCGGGAGTCCCAGTGGTCTGCCGCCCCTCCAGGTAACCCCCGAGGATGCTGGGAAGGCCTCCCTGGCCCTCTCCGCTGGCCCCAGGCGCTCGGGGGAGGCCCCTCTGTGGAGCGGCAGGTGGCTCAAGGGACGGCCACTGACCACTGCGCCCCTCCCTGGGCTGGGGCCTCAGCCCCTCGCCTCAGTGTCCCTGTGTGCCCCCCACCCCTGGGGCTGCCGGCAGGTCAGCAGCGTGAGGCGCTGGCAGCCCTGATGCCGGTCAGTGGTTAGCGGCTTCCTGTGAAAGGCGGCGCCGTCCGGCCTCTCAGACAGGGGGACTCACTGAGGGGCCAACGCTGGCCGAAGCCCCGGGTGGAAACAGGGCAGCCTGCGCGGCGACCCCGGGCTGCAGGGCCCACCTGCGGTTCTGACCCAGCGCCGGGGGTGCGACCCCAAGAAAAGGGTCTGCGTCTGCTGCTCAGCGCACAGGGACCCTCGCCTGATGGGGCCACCTCTCCTGCTGCCCTCGTGGGCTCCTGAGGCCCGACCCCCAGCTCGGGGAAAGGTGTCGGGGAGAGTGACGTGGGTGGTGACTGCTAAACAAGCCCCAAAGACCAGCCTGGGACAGACAGGGCGGGACGCAGACCAGAGCCGTACCTTAGGGTAAAGTCAAAATGAAAATGCTTTTTCCTTTTCAGAAAGCAACCAAAAGAGAAAACACAGACACGTTACGAATACTCTGGGAGGAGCGAGGGGCCCCCAGGCATCGGCGCGGGAGCACCACGGCTCCCAGCCTCCCGGGGCCTCGGCGACTCTCCACCTGCCTGTTCTGGGGCAGCAGCTGCGAGCCCCCGAGGTTCCCGTGTGGGGGTGGCACAGCCCCCTCCGCCACGGACCGCCCCGGAGAGCCGGGCCCCGCCAGGGAGCCAGGCGGCCATCCCTGCCGACCCGCGGCGGCTTAGCTCTGTCTTTCGGTCTAGGGACAGCGTTGGAGCCGACACCCGGCTGCTCAGGGGCAGGCACCAGGGCAGGGCGGCTGGGCCTCCAGCCAAGGCTTCCTGCTCTGGGCGGGTGGGAGCACGAGCTCCTCACTCACTGACAGGCCCAAGGCCACGGAAGCCCCCGCCCCAGCCCAGGAAGCCGGGGCTGTGGGAGGAACGTGGGCTCAGGCTCAGGGAGCTGCGCACTGCGACCTTGGGGCCCCGACAGCTGTCAACTTTCATCATCGGAGACCTCAACGTGCACAGAAACGGGGAGCCCTGAAACCGCCCTGCTTGTTTTAACTCCGATTTGGAGTGAGCGAGCACGCCGCTTGCTCAGGGCTTCTCCAAGCCCGGCACCGGGTTCTGTCCACAGCCCTCCTGGGCCGAGACCAGCAACAGGGGAGGCCACAGAGGGTAGGGGGTGGCGCCTGCCCCATGCCCGGCCCAGGCCCACCGCGTTACCTCTTCTGCTTGTAGGTCAGCATGGCCTCAGCGATGGGGAGCTGGTGTGCACAGTTGGCCCCTGCGATGTACTGGGTGATGCGTGACACGATGTCCGGCGTGTCCTGTGCTGCATGAGGAGGCGGCGGTGGGTTGGGCCGCAGCAGCCAGGCACAGCTCCAGTCGGGGGTCTGGGAGCGTGCGGGGCACCACGGGCACCTCCACCTCTCCGCGGCCAGCCCAGGGACCCTCTGCCCTCCACCCTCGAGGTGGTCCCAGGCCCCGGACGGCAGGGCCCCCTCCCCCTCCCCCTCCCCAAACAGGCCCCACTTTCTCCAACGAGCTCTGAGGCTCAGAGAGTGGAGAGGGAGGGGTCTGGCCGAGGACCCCCCCAGGCCATCTGCCGCAGCTTCCCTGAGGCCGAAGACGGTCCCGGAGACGGGGCCCCTGCAATGGAGGGTGAACGGGAGGGTCGGCCCCACCCTGGCCGGCTGCCAGCCTCACCAGCACTCTGGGCCTCCAGCTTGTTGAACAGGTCTCTCCAGGCCAGGTCCTGGAAGAAGTTGTTGTAGCGGTAGTCCACGGAGCCCAGGTACCTCGCCACGGGGTGGGAGCCTGCGTGCCCAGGGAGCGCCGTCACCACGTGCGGGACCCGGAGCCGAGCGGCCCGCCCCCCCACGGCCGCGGCGCTGCGCCAGTGCGCCCTCGCCTCCCAGACGAGCCGCCCTCCTGCTCCCGCGCCTCCCTGCCCTCCTCGGAGGCTGCGTCCGCCCTGCTGAAGGAGCTGCCGCGAAGGCCCACCCCCGCGCTCCCCCGAGGAAGGCCCGCCCAGCACCGCGGCGCACGAGACCGAGAGGTGCCTCAGCCGCGCACGGAGCCTTTGAGGTCGGCGTCTCACGGGCACCCGTGGGTGAGGCGTCGCCTCCAGTCCTCGCGACTTGGATAGGTTTGTTTTGTAACAAAATGAACTGTATAAACCAGGAGAACTAACGGGGCTCAACTACGCGAGACCCTGGTAACTGGAAGGTCGATCGTTAACCCCTGCTTTGCGCTTCTGACGCTGGAAACCCAAACGGGTGTCGATCCAGCCATCCCGGTGCAGGACGGACACCGGCTGGCGCCACCGCGGAGGGCGAGGCTCTGTCTCGAGAAGGTGCACGGAGCGCGACCCCACCACCCGCGAGTGCCCCGCGGCCTCACCCAGCGGGATGACGAGGAAGCGCATGTAGCCGAGCCAGTCGGGGGTCTTGTGCGACAGCTGCTCCACGAAGAGCCGCAGGACGGCGCTGAGGTAGTGCTGCGCCCCCGCCACGGCGATCTTCACGGGCGTCGGGGGCTGCGAGTTGCAGTTGCAGCTGCGACCCAGGCGGGCGGCACAGAGAGGGGACAGCCTCGGGGAGCTGTCCTGGCCCAGGGGCCGCCCGCGCTGACCCAGGGGAAGCCGCCAGGGGCTGAGAGGAGACCGGCGGTGCAGAGCCCGCGATCTGAGCCGCGCGTGTGCACACCTCCCGCAGCCCTGGCGGAGGGCGTCCCCGCCCCACGCGGCAGCAGAGCCCGGCAGGGAGGCCCGGGACTCACTATCGCTGTATCCGGGACACGATGGTGCTGAACGCGGCCTGCACGTCGGCGGCGGAGCAGGTGCACACCACGGGCAGCGTGTGCCTCTGCAGCACGTCCGAGAGGAACTGGCGGAGGACGGGCCGGTGCTGACCTCGGCACGACCGCCAGGGCCACCCCCGCCGCGCCTGGCTCTCAGGGCTCCGGAGGGAAACCACACCAGTGGCTCCCACTCGCGGCCAGGCAGGCGCGCCCAGGCCTCCCACTCTGCGGGCGCAGCCCCGACCCGACGCCACAGGCCGCTGCCTACCTGCCCCTGCCAGTCGGCGGTGTTGACCAGGATGATGTTCTCGGGAAGCTGGTCGTCGGAGACCAGGATGTGGTTCAGCTGGTCGTACACGGTCTTCCTGGGGATCTGCAGACAGGAGGCCCGTCCACACCGCTGCTGCCCACCTCCCGGCTCTGGCGCCAGCAGCGACCCCCACCCCAGCCCCTGCAGCTGCACGGCCCGGGCACAGGCGGGGGCTGCCGGGCGACACCGCCGAGCGCTTGGGCAGCGGCAGGGACGGCTGGGACAAGCTCCAGCGTTCACGTGGGCTTCCCAGCGGCAGGCGGTTTCCAGACGGAGCCCTGGCCTGCTCCTCTGTCAAGCGCCCTGGCCGCCCTGCTTCCCTCTCTGCCGCACCTGCAGCTGGCTCCGCGAGTCCGGGCAGCGCTCGTTGTCCAGGCTGTTGGCCCGCTCGCTCTGGGGCCGTGCCGGCTGCCGCTCCTTCAGGGACGTGCTCCGGCCGCGGCGGCCGGCCTGCTTCCCCTCGGACCTGTCAGGGACCAAGACAGGCTGAGGGGGCAGGGCTGGGCCAGGGTCTCGCTATGGCCACACGTCACGGCAGCCCCGGGGGCAGAGCCGCTCAGCGGTGGGGGCAGGGAAGGACACCACACAGCCCCCTGCCAGGCAGTGGGTCCATGGACTGCCTGGAGAGGCCCCTGGGGCCCCTGAGCTGAATTTGCCCTGTCCTCCGGGTCAGGAGCTGGGCGGAGCTGGGTGTAGGCCAGGACTGGGCGCCGGCTGTCAGGGTGACACTCTCGGCCCCTGGGTAAATGCCAGGGCCCAAACACCACAGAAACATAAAATCAAGGTCCTGCAGGAACAACTGACCGACGGGCCTCTCTGGCCGGGAAGGGGCTCTGGCAGGGGAGGAGCAGGACCTGTGGGGAGGATGCAGGCTCGGCTGCCCTCGGCCCCGACGGGAGACCCGGGGCTGCAGGTTTCCCGTCTCCGCGGCAAGTGGTGGGGCAGGCGCTGATCACCATGAGGGGCCGTGCCAGGCTTGGGCTTACGCGGGACCCGCAAGACACCTAATGCGACGCGACACTTTAAAACTGACGCCATCGCCAGAGAGGACGCAGGAGCGGGGGCGGCAGGAATACTCAGGTAGCGGCTGCTGTCCCTGGAGGGGCCCAGTCCCACGGGAGGCAGCGGGAACTGCAGGGGGACAAGCCCCCGAGGCCGTGGTGGAGGCAGGGTCCAGCGCCGGGGCCCCGGAGGTGGGCAAGGGCCGGTGGGAGCCCGGAGGGGTGGCCGGGAGCCCGAAGACCGGCCCTGGTCTGACTGAGATGGGCGGTGAGTGGGGAGAGGCCTGTGAGAGACCCTGGGGGTGCCCCCACCGGGAGCCACCCACTGCATGTCTCGGCCCACACACCTGGCCCTGGGCCCTTGTGCTGCCGCTGCCCTCCTGGGGCCAGCCCCCAGCAGGCCCCATGCCGGGCTCAGCCACTGCGCTGCGTCCCTGACCCCCCACTCTCCGCAAGGACCTCTGCTCAATGGCCAGAGCTGACGGCAGCGGGTTCGACCCGTGTGGTCCTATCCGGAGCTCCGGAGGCCTTGACTCTGCCGTCCCCACCTGAGCACCTCGTCCCACCCCCCACTGATGCCCCGTGACTGCCACTCCCTCGGGCTCGGCCTGCACCGCCCTGGCCTGCCCGCCCAGCGCAGAGCCCCCGTCACCTGGTGGAGGGGATGACCAGGGACTCTGTCTTGGTGATCCTCCCGCTGGGCGGCAGCTTCTCGGTGAACACGTCCAGGGTGGAGGGCTCTGCCTCGGGGCTGTCCTCGGGCTGCCCTGACGGCTCCCGCGGGGCCGACGCACCCTGGCGAGCAGAGACAGACGCCTGTGCCCCTCCCGCCGAGGACACGCACGCCCACGACGGGGCCTTCTTGACCCCGTGTGTCCCTGGTTTGGGGGAGGGGTTTGGGCCTCTGCGGGACCTGTGAGCTGCTTACGAGGGCCACTGTGTCGGAGACGCTGTCACTCGGCCGCTTGCCTCCCAGGGACCGCGTCTTCTCAGGCACGTCAGCCTGGGGGACGAGACGGGAACCAGCGGTGCTCAGTGGCTGGTGCCGAGGCCGCTCACTCCGGGCCGGGGTGCTGGGCCCGGAAGCGGCCAGGCGGGTGGGGTGGCAGCGTCCCGGGCGGTGCATGGGGGGCTTCAGGATAGCCGGTGGGGCCTGAGCCCCGGCCGTGCTGGGAGACGCGGCCACACAACCCAGCCGGGCACCGTCCACTCGGCTGGTGCCGCACACCCGCCGCGCTTCCGGGGGACGGGACGGGCCAGGACTCACCGGGCTGGGGGGCTCCCTGTGGCTCCGGGCGCTGTGAATGCTCCCGATCTCCGTCTGCGAGCTGGAGTGCGACAGGCCTTCGAAGTAGGGCCTGGCCAGGGAAGGGGGCGCGTTACTTCCCAGGACGTCCCCCACTGCGCCTGAGGGGCCAGCCTGGGGACCCGGCGGCAGAGCAGAGCCGGCTCCAGAGAAAATCGGCTCTCACGAGCCCCTGTGGGCGCACCCCTCGCGCCGTCCAGAGCGCGGGAGGGCGGGGGACGCCGGCGCTCTCTGGCCAGGCCGCCTGCAGCCCCTTCTCAGCTCCTCCCCCGCTCTGAGGTCAGTCGCAGAAAACCCATGTCCCTGCAACCCCTTCTGCCCCTGCTGTCGATTCTGGGCAGGGCTGCTGGCAAGGCCCCGCCAAGAGCCGTGGGACTGCAGCCCCTCGCAGGACAGAGGGGCACGCGCAGCACGACGCGGCACTGGCGCGAGGTCCGGGTGGATCCAGGCCTCCCAGAGCCCCTCGCGGATAAAGGGTGGGGGGAGGGGAGCCTTTCGAGCCAGACACCTGAGCAGGTCTTGCGCCCACATTCGACACTCCCACCCAGGCGACGAAGCGTGTGAAACACATTGCCACTGAGTGTGACCACTCAGCATCACGGCCCCCGAGAGCCCACGCCTCAAACCACGGTGGGCACGCTGGCCGGCCGGGGGCTCTGCACCGTGGCTGATGTCACGGAGCTCAGGGTGGGGCGGTCTGGACTACACAGGTGCGTCCAGTGCAACCACACGAGCCGTTGAAGAGAACACAGGGAGCCCACCTTCTCGTGTATGCTTCCCTCCGTTGTGTAGGTCAACAAGCAGAAAAACACAACAAATCTTCCCCACTGCGATTGGGGTCTCCCCGGCACCTCTGTCCTATGGGCTGTGTCCCCCCCCGCAGGCCAGGGCCTCCCACGGATCCACAGCCAAAGCCAGTGGTGGACCTGCCTCTGCGCCCTCCCTCCTGCCCCGCCAGACCCCCCACCACCATGCCCCGCCCTGCTGGAGGCAGCACCGCCAGGGGCTCCTGTTCTGCCGCAGTGGCGGGGCCTCCGCAGCTCCCACGTGGTCCCTCCCCACGCTGACAGGGGGCCATGCCCCGCCCAGCATCAGCCCAGGGGATCCCTCTGCCCTTCCTGGCCCAGAGCCTGCGTCCCAGCAGCTCTGGCTTCTCCACAAATGCGCTGCTCTCGCCCGTGATGGGAAAGCTGCCTGGCCCATGCACCTCCGTGGGACTGCGGCACATGGCACCTGCCCCCAGGCCACCCAGTAGGCTGGCCCCGCAGGAACCTTCCAGGGGGCCCTAGAGGCGTCCAGGGCCGGGCATGTCTGCGGCGTGGGCAGGGCGTGCAGGAAGCTGCTGGGCTGCTCACCGTCCCTTGGGCGAGACTCACCTGAGCTTCGGTTTGGGGGTGCTGAGGACGCTGTCGTCGTCCTCCATGTCGGGGCCGCTGTCGCTGGGGTTCTCCATGTCCAGCGTGTCGTACAGAAGGTCCAGGTCCTCCTCTGCCTCGGGGACGTGCTCCGCAGGGTCCTGCTCCGAGTCCAGGACCTGCAGGGACACCGGACAGCGTGAGGGCCTGGCAAGGGCAGTCCCCGCAGACGCCTGCGTCGCCGCACGGCAGGTGGGGCGAGCCGCCCCCGAGGCCCACGCAGAGGTGTCGCGAGGGACAAGATGAGGAGGGCACCCAGAGCCACCAAACCCTTTGCTGTCAGCACGTTCTGAGCCCAGTCAGTCTGTTGTGGAGACCCCAGGTGCTGGCCCAGGTGCCTGGGCTGTGGGGGGAACTCGGCGCGCAGGCGGTGCGCTCGGCAAGTGCATACGGTTGCGCAGCCACCAGTCAAGACACGAAATGCTTCCCATAGCGGCAGAGACTCTTGTAGTCGATCCCTTCCCCTCAGGCCCAGGCACCACCAACCTGATTTCTGTGCCTTCGGTTTTGCCCCTGCCAGAATGTCACACGAAAGGAGTGGCACAGTGCGCAGCCTCGGGGCCTGGCTCCTCTCGCTGGGCGTGACAGACCCACGCACGTGGTGGTGCGTGCTGACAGCTAACTCCTTCTCCTATCTGTTCTAGAATTTGTATAGGCTTTAAATTTATGGGTTTTTTTTTTTTTTTTTGAGACACAGTCTTGCTCTGTTGCCCTGGGTGAGTGCCGTGGCATCAGCCTAGCTCACAGCAACCTCAAACTGCTGGGGTCAAGGGATCCTCCTGCCTCAGCCTCCCCAGTAGCTGGGACTACAGGCACGCGCCACCATGCCCGGCTAATTTTTTCCATTTTTAGTAGTGACGGGGTCTCCCTCTTGCTCAGGTTGGTCTCGAACTCCTGAGCTCAAGTGATCCTCTCACCTTGGCCTCCCAGAGTGCTAGGGTTATAGGCGTGAGCCACCACACCCAGCCAAATTTTATGTTTGTTAAAGTTTAAAATTTAAGTATTGCCTGAGTCCAGGAGTTTGAGATCAGCCTGGGCAACACAGGCAGATCCTGTTTCAAAAAAAAAAAAAAAATAGAATGGCAACTGTTTTTCCTGGTGTACCAGTACTCATTAAAAAAAAATTTTAAGTAAATTTTTAGAAGCTTTAAATTTTAAATTTAGAAATACGATCCACTTAAGTCTATTTCTGCATATGGTGTGTGCTGTGTGTCAAGGCAACTTTGCTGAAAATCAACACCTATGCTTATGAAATGAAAAGTATAAGATGCTAAACTGAAGCTGAGGGCTCCAAAAAACACACTTGCCCCAAATTCACTCCTGCAGCACAGAGCCCTGACTAGCGGCTCCACTAAGTCCTCACCGGACAGACCCCCACTCGGGACACCCGAGGTCAGAGCATCTGCACCCCCCCGAATTCCTATGTGGGGATCTGGCCGCCGAGGCGCTGGCGTGAGGAGCTGACAGTCCCGAGGGCTCTGCCCCCGGAAAAGGGGCTTCCGCGAGCCTGTCGGCACCCTCCCCACGGGAAGGCACGTGGAAGGCGCCATCTACGAGGAACGGGCCTCGCCCGACGCCGGATCTGTCGGCAGCTTGACCTCGGACTCCCAGCCTCCAGAACCACGAGCAGTAGATTTCGGTTATTTGCGAATTTCCCAGTCTGAGGAATTTCGTCACAGCAGCAAACGGTCAAAGACAGGCTGCGACTCGGGCAGGTAACCACACCGCTCCGTGCCTCTCCCGCCCTCGGACCGCGCCTGGTGCAGAGCTCCAGGGAGGACACTCTGCCTCCCCGTGCCAGGCACAGCCGCGGGCTGCGGCAGAGACGGTGCGGTGCTCGTGGCAAAGGGCGTGAGTGACGTGTGGCAAATTGGGAAAGAGATCATGTCACTCGACTGCAGCCGCCTTAACCTGTGTGCATTTTGCGCAGAGCTGGGAGAGCGGTCCTCCGAAAATGGCAAAGTCCTTCACCTGAGCAGCGTCCGGGATGCTGGCCAAGTTCCCCACAATTTGGGCTCTGAGTCCCAGAACCAAATCTGGGCAGGAAGGTCACACCTGGACTCAGCCCGATGCCGAGGCAGGCACGGGTCCCCACGGTCAAGATGCCACCATGAGCACCCACCCCTGACCCACGGGCCCTTAGAGGGATCAGCGAGGCCTTGGGAATGTTCCCCTCCAGGACATAAGGATGCAGGGCCCAGCTGGACCAGCCAGCGGCCCTGGGCTGTCCTTCCTCCAGAGCCGGTGAGTGATACGCCACTCCCAATGGCCGAGAAGCGCCCGTTTTTGGTACTTGCACTGAGAAGCATGTTGCTGGGCTCGGGTGCTAGAGGCTGGCCTCAGACCCTGCTGCTGCAGGGGTGCAGCCCTCATGTGCACAGCACGGGACCACCGTGTGTGAGCAGCACGCTGCCCTGCCCACGCTGCTCCAGGGCCTGGCCACACGCATGCTATCTTCCACTCCATGTCCAGACTGCCAGCACGAATTTTCTTCTAACCGTGTCAAAAAAAACCCCAAAAAACCAAGACGTTTTTCTTCTGACGATGAAAGTTATGTAAGCTCATTGTAGAAAATTTGGAAAGTAGAGAAAAGCTAAAAGAAAAAAATTCTAAAACCCAAGGAACGCCAGCATTAGCGGTCTGTGTGGCAGGGGTATGTGGGGTTTCTGCACCACCTGCTCAATTCCGCCCTGAAACATCAAGTCTATTCTACAAACACACACACACGACCCGTGGCTACGCCCCAGGAAGACGTCTTGTCCTCCCTGCTGTGTGCTCGCAACTTGGAGCTCAACAGAGACCCAGCGGGTGATCCCAGGGCCTCTGCTGGATCCCCCGGGTCGCCCCGGAAGGTGACACCGCTATTTCCACGTCTCCTGGACAGAGCCACCCGACAGGGCTGCGCGGGAGCAAGCGGCAGAGGCAGGACCTCGGAGGGGGCTCAGCTCACTCACCTCGTCCGACACCTTGAACCTCCGCAGCAGCGCCACGACTTTCTGTTTGAAGTTTTGTTGCTGCAAGACAAGCGGCAGAGTCAGGAGCTGTGGGGGAGAGGCTGTCTCAAGAGGCTACGGCGCAGGCGGCTCAGACGCCGTGACGCTGAAGAACTCAAAAGCACTCCTGGCGCTACAGCAACAAGCAAGCTCATGGGCATCTAGAACCACAAGCCAAGGTCCAATGGTCCCAGGCCCGGTGAAGGGGAGCCTAGGGAGGGCCTGTGCCAACACTACTGTTCTTCCAGAAGACTCCACAGCCCTTCCCAGGATCACTGCCGTGGCCAACTCCACAAAGGGGGTGCTGCATGCCCCACGTCGGGTGGACACTCAGGCTGGCTGCCGTGAGGCACTTGGGTGGGTGCGCTCGGCGGTCAGCCCCAGCCCCATCTGCCCTGCGCACTGCCCTGGGCTGCAGAGCCTCAGCTCCGGCCACCCTGATGGCACAACCCTGCAAAGGCAGCCCACGTTGCTCCCTTCACAGCAGTGCACCTCGCGGGCCCTGGGACTGAGGCCAAAACGGGTCTCTGCACGGCGTGGGGTGCTGTGCTGCGCCCCAGAGACACGGCTTCACCCACGTCGGGAGCCGCCCGCCCGTCTCCCTGCCAAGGCAGTGGTGGTGTCTGGGGCCAGACTGTGCCTGTGCCCCTCGGCACTGGGCAAGGGGCTTCCCTGGCCACCACGCTGGCCCGGCCTGCGGAGGCATGGCTGGTGCTGTGAGTTCTTGGCGGGGGGCTCTGGGTGCCGGTCCTAGGCAGGGCCCTGGCCCAGGCTTTCCTCCAGAAGGAAAAACCTGGCAGCTCTTCCCCAGGCTCCTGGGGCCACAGCGCCGGGCAGGCCAGACGCTGGACAAAACCGGGAGGACTGGCCGCATCCAGCTGCATCTGGTGCCGGACCAAGGGGAGAGCCGCCTCCCCCAGGCTCTGCTCATGGAGCAGCCCGGGCAGTGCGGTAGCCAGCCCAGCCTGGGTCATGCCCTCTGCGCCTTGGAGACACCAGCACCTGGCGGGGTCCAGCAGCAGGGCTTGGCCCGGGATGCGCCCGCCTGGCTCGTGCCCACTTGGACTGACGAAAACCAGGCGCCTCTCACCCGGCCGCTGAGGCCACGGCTGCAGCGTGGGGTCTCCACGCCCTCACTGCCGCGTCTGGGGCAGAGGGTCCCCACCGAGCCCTAGGAGACGCCGTGAGCAGGCCGCGGGGCCCGGTGTGCGCCGCGGCTCCTCCAGTCCCACGCCCTCCCCAGGACTCCACCGCCGCGTCCCCGGCCGCCCTGCCGCCCGCCCCTTCCCCAGTGTTAGTAAAACGAGTCTCCACCGACCCTGGTCATGGACGTCGTTCTTACTATCGGTCGCCGCTGCTTCTTCGGCTTCCCCATGTCGAAGTCGTCCTCGTCCAGGTCCTGCGGGCACAAGCACGGTGCCTGGGCCACGAGGCCACCCAGCCCCGCAGGACCCCCGGCAGCGCACGTGGGCCGGGGCGGGGCCAGCCGCCAAGAGCCCCCACCGCAGTGAGCACTGCCCACGCCCCAGGCCCCGGGACGGGCGAGGCTCCCGCCCCCCAACCACGAGGTCGGCGCCCCGCCTGGTCACCTGCCCCTGCACGGCATCGTCGCTGGCCTCCTGCTCGGAGGAGAAGCTCTCGTACTCCTCCTCGGAATAGTTATCTGTGGAAGGAGCACGGAGGCACCTCGAGATTCCATCCGCTGGAACGCGGCCACCGAACCGCAGACCCCGACGCAGAGCAAGCTGCGAGGACACAGCCCTGCAGAGCCCCGGCCCGGGAGGCAGGCGCGGCCGGCCCGAGGCCCGAGGCCCGAGAGCCCGATGACGGCAGCCCTCGAGGCGCAGGGCTCGTGGGAGGCGGGAGGGCTGTGAGGACGGGGGCTCCACACTGACCGCCTGGGACCCCCACAGCCCCTCCTGCGTGTTTCAGCCTGGACTTGCGCTGGCTGGGTCCCCTGCCTACCCTGGGGTGGGGGCGGGGACACGGACCCCAGTTGTGATGGTGGCAACAGCTGGCGGCCTGAGCACCGCCCTTTGCCAGGACCCGCCAGACCACAGGCGCACTCACCCGCGGACTTGGCCTTGGGGCCGGCCTGCATGGCGCTGTCCTCGTGGTCGATGGGCTGGCTGGACAGGGACACGATCCAGATCTCGGCCACCTTGACGGGGGCCTCCTTGATGCTGCTGCACAGGCTGAGCACCTGGCCGCCCTCCGCGGGGTGCTGCATCACCTGCAGGCAGGGCGCGGGTCCAGCAGGGCACGGGAGGGACGGCACCCACCGCACGCGGCCCCCACCTGGCTGAGGGCTGGGGCTGCTGGAGGATGGGTAAGAGGGTGTGGGCCTCTCGGGGTGCCACGAGAAGAGGGCAGGGCTCTGCTGGGAGGGCCACGAGGGACTAAGGTGGGCGCGGGGGCGTGTGCACCCGAGACTGCTCTTGGTCTTGGGCACTCCTGCTGTCCCTGCAGAGCCACCCAAGCAGCTCCTGGGTCCCGCTCAGACCCCGCCTCCGCCCACGGCAGCAAAGCAGAGTGTAAAGCCGGCCCCTGACCCGCAGGGTCCGGTGTCCGGGACCTGTGTCTGTGGGGGGCCCACACAGGCTGAGGGACTCCCATGGCAGGGGACACCTGGCAGGCCCGGCTCACAGGACCGGCCAAGCCCTCTCTCGTGAGAGATTCCAACCAGGGAGCAGCACAGGGGGTCCCGGCGCCCACCTGGCCACCACCTGGGCTGCTTGCCTGTGCCCCACGCCAGCCTCACAGACGCGCAGCACGACAGCGTCCAAACGCACTCGCAGACGTGGGGCCTTCACGCCCCGGCAGCTGCCCCTGGGGGTCGTGTGCTCAGACCCAGATACTAGGATTCTATGGATCACATTTTTTTACACATCTGGGGGCCTGATTTTAGGTGCCAATTTTTTCTGAGACGGAGTCTCACTCTACTGCCCGGGCTAGAGTGCCGTGGCGTCATCCTAGCTCACAGCAACCTCAAACTCCTGGGCTCAAGCGATCCTTCTGCCTCAGCCTCCCGAGTAGCTGGGACTACAGGCATGCGCCACCATGCCTGGCTAATTTTTTCTATATATATTTTTAGTTGTCCAGCTACTTTCTTTCTATTTTTAGTAGAGACGGGGCCTCGCTTTTGCTCAGGCTGGTCTTGAACTCCTGAGCTCAAACGATCCGCCCACCTCGGCCTCCCAGAGTGCTAGGATTACAGGCGTGAGCCACCGCGCCCGGCCTAGGTGCCAGTTTTTCAATCAGTCAAATAAGAAAATGAAATGTTTGAGCAAACACACATCTGCTTCCACCTTCACTTCAGAAACCAGCGTAAGAAGGTCAGCGGGCAGCTTCACGGCAGCACGCACACCCTTCTGACGCGTTCGCGTGCGTGTGAGGGCGGGGGCACACCTGCACCCATGGCCGTGTGGCCGCCTGGCACTGCTCTGGCAGGAGCAGGTGAGGGCCTGGGCAGGGGCCACGTGTGGGCCAGGCAGGAGCTCGCGCCAAGCTCCAGAGGACCCACGTGGGGCTGGGGCCTTCTCCCCGCAGGTGAAACCTGCTCTTTCCTTCCTTCAGGTGGGAGCACGGGAGAGAAACCGGGCCTCTCATCAAAGGTGTTTCTGCTCTGGCCGCTGCAGCCGGCTGGAGCGCGCGTGTTCTGAGGGGTGCCGCGGGCAGGCCTGGGGTCACGAGGCAGGGTCAGGAGCTCGCTGGGAACCAGGGGCCACAGCTGAGGCAGGGCCCCCCGTGGCCCGGGTGGGGCTCGCAGGGAGCCTGGATGGTGCAGGCCCCGCCTCGGGTGGGGACGCGGCCCTCAGCTCACTGCGGCCACCGGACAGCCTCCCAGCCAACCCTCGGCTGCACGTTACCTGTGGCTCCTCCAGGCCCCGGTGGCCCTGCTTCTCCCACGCAGGGGCGCATGTCCCCTCCGTCCCGCCCCGTGCTGCACAGGGCCGGCCGGCTCCCAGTGAGGGGTCCGGCTACCGCTGAGGCTGGGAGATTTCCTGGGTGACGTTGGCCAGCTGGTACCTGTCCTAGCAGCCATTCCCACTCCTGCCCCGATGATCCCGGGACCACCCTCCCAGGCCGGGCTGCCAGACGCTCTCTGGACGCTGAGTGACCCACAGGAAAGGGCTGGGCTTGACTGACCTCAAAGGCCCCAGCTCCCATCAGCCCTGACTCCTGACGGCCTCCTCCCTTTGCTTTCAAATGAATTTTAATGACAGAATGAAACGCTTAATTAGAATAAATAGAATAATCAAAATAGAATAACCAAATAATTAAAATTTTGCAAAAACAGGCCAGGCACAGTGGCACACACCTATAACCCCAGCACTTAGGGAGGCTGAGACAGGAGGATCACTTGAGGCCAGGAGTTCGAGACCAGTCTGGGCAACGCAGCAAGACACTGTCTCCACAGAAACATTCTAACAATCAGCGGGACGTGGTGGCGCGTGCCGGCAGCCCCGGCTTCCCGTAGGTCTCGGTGCCGTTTTCCCAACAGCATGTGCGCACTTCCTATCTGTGTCACATTTTGGTAATTCTTACAATATTTCAACGTTTTTCACTATTATTATATCTGTTGCAGTGATCTGTGATCAGTGATCTGTGACGTTACTGTTGTAATTGTTTTGAGGCACCACAAAGAGATGGCAAACTTAATCCATAAATGTTCGTGTTCTGACCACTTCACTGACTGGCTGGTCCCGTCTCCCTCTCCTCGAGCCTTCCTCTTCCCTGAGACACAACAATACTGAAATTAGGCCAATTAATAACCTTATAATGGCTTCTCAGTGTTCAAGTGAAAGGAAGAGTCACACGTCTCTCACTCTAAATCTAAAGCTATAAATGATTAAGCTTAGTGGGGAAGGCATGTCGAAAGCCACGACAAGCTGAATGCCAGAGCCTCCTGTAGTTGTGAATGCAAAGGAAACGCTCCTGAAAAGAATTAAAAATGATACTCCAGTGAACGCACGAATGATAAGAAAGTGAAGCAGCCTTACTGCTGCTATGGAGAGAGTCTGAGTGGTCTGGACAGAAGATCAAACCAGCCCCGACATTCCCTTAAGCCAAAGCCTCAGCCAGAGCAAGGCCCTGACTCTCTTCGATTCTGTGAAGGCTGAGAGAGGTGAGGAAGCTGCAGAGAAAAGTTGGAAGCTGGCAGAGGCTGGCTCATGAGGTTTAAGGAAAGCAGCCGTCTCCACTAACATAAAAGTGCAAAGTGAAGCATCAAGGGCGGATGGAGAAGCTGCAGCTAAGATCACTCATGAAGGTGGCTACACCAAACAGCAGATTTTCCATGTAGATGAAACGGCTTTACACTGAAAGAAGATGCCGTCTAGGACTTTCATAGCTAGAGGGTAAGTCAAGGCCTGGCTCCAAAGCTTCGAAAGACAGGATGACTCTTTTGACAGGGGCTGATGCAGCTGGTGACTTTAAGTTGAAGCCAATGCCCATTTACCATTCTGAAAATCCTAGAGCTATCAAGAATTATGTTAAATCTATTCTGCCTGTGCTCTAGAAATGGAACAACAAAGTCTGGATGACAGCACATCTGTTTACAGCATGGTTTACTGAATATTTCAGGAATATTTAGCTCACTGTTGAGACCTGCTGCTCAGAAAAAAAGATTCCTTTCAAAATATTACTGCTCATTGACAATGCACCCTAATAGGAGTTGATTCTAACCTGGTCACCCAAGAGCTCTGATGGAGATATGCAAGGAGATGAACGTTGTTTTCAAGTCTGCTAATGCAACACCCATTCTGCTGTCCATGGATTGAGGAATAATTCTGACTTTTGAGTCTTATTATTTAAGTAATACATTTCATAAGGACACAGCTGCCATAGACAGTGATTCCTCTGGTGGATCTGGACAAAGTGCACTGAAAACCTTCTGGAAAGGATTCACCACTCTAGATGCCACTAAGAACATCTGTGATTCATGGGAGGAGGTAACAACATCAACATTAACAGGGGTTTGAAGTAGTGGATTCCAACCCTCACGGATGACTTTGAGGGGTTCAAGCCTTCAGTGGAGGAAGTCGCTGCAGATGTGGCGGAAACAGCAAGAGAACGAGAATCAGAAGTGGAGCCTGAGGGTGGGACCGAATTGCTGCGATCTCACGATAAGACTAGAACAGATGAGGGGTTGCTTCTTATGATGAGCAAAGAAAGTGGTCTCTTGAAGTGGAATCTACTCCTGGTGAGGACGCTGTGAACACTGTTGAAATGACAACAGAGGATTTAGAATATTCCGCAGACGCAGTTAATAAAGCAGCAGCAGGGTTTGAGAGGTTTGACTCCACTTTTGAAGGAAGTTCTGCTGTGAATAAAATGCTACCAAACAGCATCGCCTGCTACACAGGAATCTTTCGTGAAAGGAGAGTCAGTGGATGCGAGAAACTTCCTTGTCTCAGTTAAGAAACTGCCACGGCCGCCCCGCCCCCAGCACCCCTGAGCAGTCAGCAGCACCAACACCGAGACCAGACCTTCCGCCAGCAACAACTTACAGCCTGTGGATGGCTCAGGTGATTTTAGCATTTTTAGCAATAAAGTATTGTTTAATTAAGGCATGATGCTACTGCATACTTAATTGACAACAGTACAGTGCAAACATAATTTTATATGCACTAGAAACAAAAAAATCAAGTGACTCGCTTTATCGCGATATCGTTTTGTTGGGTGCTGTGGAACTGAGCCCAGTGTCTGCCGGGCCGCCCGTGTGTGCCGCGGCCCACTGCTCTCAGCCGCACGCACAGCGTGTTACGTGCTGAACACTGCAGGCAACTAACGCTACGGTAAGTGTTTGTGCACCCAGACGTTTCTAAACACAGAAGGGGCACGGTGAGAATACGATATGAAAGATAAAACGGCACACCTGTGCGGGGCACTTAGCACGGACGCCGCCTGCAGGACTGGAAGCTGCTCGGGGTGCGTGAGAGAGCCAGTGGTGAGTGAACGTGACGGCCGAGGACACCGCCGCGCACCGCTGTGGACTCCGCAAACCAGCGTAGCGCACTCGGGCTACGCCGAATTGACAGGGAAATAAAGCAGCCGTGTACGAGGTTAGGACAGCCACAGCATCACTTAGCGACAGGAATTTTCATCACTCGGCTATAGTCTTAGGGGACTGACTGTCGTACACCATCTGTTGTCGACCGAAATCATTCTCAAATGGCGCGTGGCCATACGGGCGCTCATGGAAAAGACCACACGCACACACGGGGCCAGTGGGGCGATGGCTCTCGTGCTGTCCTCACCCTGCCACCTTCCGAGTGCCCCACCGAGAGCCGCCCGTCCCTAGACACTTGGGTCTCCGGGTCTCCTGGGCTGGTCCTGGGCCGAGCGGTGTGTGCGGCTCGGGGGGAGGACCAAGAGGGACAGTGTGGCGTCGCGAAGACAGCTTCCCCAGCCACCACCACGCTTCCAGGTCACCCAGAGGCGCCCACTGCGCCCCTGGAGCCTGGTCTGCGGCCAGCCTACCTCCTGGGTTCTACTGAGGAGCCTGACCGGCCGGGGCTCCTGCATCCACCAGGCTGGGTCGGCTCGTCCGACCGCACGCACTCCCCTCCCTGGCTGCAGGGTGGGTCCCGTCGCTGAGACGGGCCACCTGCTGGCCGGAGCCCCCCGTCTCCTGGTCAGCTCGGTCATCGCGGGAGGTGCGAGGAAGAGGCAGCGGGCGACAGAGGGCAGCCCTGGGCGCAGGGCCGAGCAGGGTGGCTGGTCCTTCCCAGAGGGCTCAGCTGGGGGTCCGCACCAGGGAAGAGCTGGGTCACCCCACAGAGCACAGCCGCCCCACACCAACGTCCGGCTGGGCACCCACTGGAGCCCAGGTCCTCCGCTCCACGCCTCGGTGTCCCAGGTGAGGGCGCGTGGGCCGGGGCGGTGAGCCCCGCGGGGCGGAGCTGGGGTGGTGGGGCCCAGGCTGCTGGAGAGGAGGTGACGCCCGAGTGTCCTCGCGAGGCCTGCGCGACTCTTCTCCCCATTCCTGAGGTCCTGCGCAGGGCCTGTCGGCGGCCCTGCCTGTGTCTAGACAGCTGGCAGGGGAGGGCGCTACTGCTCGAGGCCCCCGGCCCCGCTCGGCCTGCCCTGCCACGTCCACTGGCCCCACGCTGTGCCCTCAGGACCCTTCCCTCCCACTGAGCACCACCCTCCACTAACCCCACCCCCGGCCCCAGCCCCTGTGCCAGCGGTGCCCTGCCCGCCCGGCTGTGCGGCCGCACAGCCACACCACGAGGCCCCAGCCAGGCTGCCTGGACCCCATCTGGGAGAGCGGCCTCCGCGCCCGCGTCTGTCTGTGTCAGCCAGGCCGGACACGGGCCTTGGGCTACCCCAGACCCCGCTCAACAACAAGCCCACAGCGGCCCACGGCGGGGAAACAGCCACTGCAGTACGGCAGGACATAGGACTAGAACCGGCCCCAGTGCCTGGGGACACACAGGGCCCGATCAGGTCCTGGGTCAGAGGCCGCTGGTAGGAGGAGACCCCTGAGGAGCCTGGAGGAGGGGAGCACTCAGGAGCACAGGGGCGGTCAGGCAACCGCGGCTTTGGGGTGGCAGGGGAGCTTCGCAGGCGTAGGCAGTGGGGCAGGGCTGCCGGGGTCACGCCCAGGGACTGGGCCTGTCTCCTGAGGACAGAGGGAAGGAGATGGGCTTTAAAGCAGCAGGTCAGGTGCCAGGTGTGCCCTTTGGGAAGGTCGCCCGGCATCGCCCAGGGGTCGGTGCAGAGAGCCGAAGGCGGGGCAGGCGGTGGAAGTTCCAGCAGGAGACACGGCGGGGCCAGGCCTGCACAGCTGGCGCTCAGAGCGCGGGCACCGCGCAAGGCGGCTGAGCAGGGGCTGACAGCACAGGAGCCCCCGCGCTGAGACAAGGTGCAGGGCGGGCACCGCCAGCGTCGCCAGGAGACATCAAACACCGCGGGGCGTCTGCTCAACTAGCAGAAGTGGCGACTCCAGGGCGGGCCCCGTGCTCACTGAGATCCAGCCTGGAGGCAGAGGCTGGGTGACTGGCGGCCTCAGGCCTTGGAGAGGCCTACGGACGGAGAGTCCGCGCCCGCGGGCCTGTTCCACCAGGGGCCTGTTCCGCCCTGTGCTCTGCTGCAGGGGCCCACGGGCGACTGAGGCTGGCCGGAGGCTGCGTTCCCACAGGGACCGAGGCCTCGGGAGGCGGCTCGCACTCTCCACACCCTTCACGCGCCGCCCGGGCAGCGGGAGGGGCTGAGCCCAGGCTGTGCTGGTGCTTGTCCCGGACAGATGGGTGCGGGAGGGTGGGGGGCCCAGCACTGACCTGCCCCTCTCGGGGAGACAGGAAGCCTCAGGCTCTAGCAGGGTGTGGGGGTGGGCTGCGGACACCCCCACTGTTCAAGCCCTGCAATGGGGGGGCCCTGGGAACAGGGGTCCTGGCAGGGTGAGGAGGGCTGGGGGGCACCTGCAGCTCTAGCGCCCAACGAGGGGCTGCCGCTGACCTCCCTCCGTCCAGGTGGGCAGCAGCAGAGCTGTGCGCACCCTGAGCACTACCGAGGCCCTGCAGCCCCCCCGAGGCCTCAACGCAACCCCCTGAGTGCGACAGGTTCCGCAGACCGCCAGGCCCCCAGGACAAGCTGGCCTGACCTCTGATTTCTTCCTGAGGGCCTTCGCCTTGGTTCCCCACCAGGGGACTTCGCACCCTCGAGCCCCTCCCCAAGCCAGACCAGCGGCAGCCTGTCCTGCTCCTCTGACCTGGGCCACAGCGTGTGCCGAGTGGGACACAGGCACGGGACGAAAGACACCGACACGGGAACCAACTGGGAGGACGCTTCCAGCGAGGCCTCCCGGAACGGGCTCCAGAACAGCCCCACCCGGCCAGAATCGCCCTCCTGAGGGCAGGACCGGCCGCTAGCGGGGCCCACGGACACGCAGGCACGAGTGAGCCACGCCGAGAGGCGGGTGGGCAAGAGGAGGCCCCGCCCAGGGCCCACGCTCCGCGCTCACGGCGGCACCCAGCCTCGAGGCGCCTCTGGTCCTCGAGAGAAAAGTGGACATTTGGACCCATGAGAGGAATCGCCTACACCCACGTGCCCTGGCGCCCGTGAGGACCAGCCCGCCGTGGCACTCACCTCGGCCATGCTGACGGAGCCCGCGGCCAGAGTCTTATAGCCCAGGATGGTCCGGTTCTTGTACCGCTTTCTGCGCTGCAGCATGATCTGAAGCTTGTTGCCTTCTCTCTTCAGGAAGTGAGGATACTGCGGGAGCAAGTGCGGGGCACAGCCTGAGCGCGCGCTCCCCGCGGCCCCAGGCAGCCCCCTCAGCCTCTGGCAGCCCAGCGTCCCTGCGGCAGGTGGTAAGGTCGACCCGCCCGCGAGGTGTGTGAAGACCAAGTGCCGACGAGGCCCGGAGGGCAGGGTCAACGGGACCCTTCCTGCAGCGGACAGCAGCGAGGACAAGCGGGTCGCCACGTGGGTGGCTGCGCAGCCTGGTCTGTGCCTTAACAGCCACAGCGGCAGAATGAACTATTTGTCCGGACGGTTGGGACAGGCCCAGGAACGCCTGTGGACGCCCACACACAGACCTGCAGCTCCCCTGGCCGGGATGCTGAGCACGCGGTGTGGCCCACGTGGTGTGTGGCAGGGGCTCCCGTGAGCAGCACCGTGCGCACGGCCCTGCTCGTCTGTGCGTCTTACAACAGCAGCTCCTGCAGTGCAGCAGAGCTTACGTGTATGGAGCTCACGTTCACGGGTTTTTTCTTAAGAGTTCACAAAAACCCGTTTAAAAAACTGCAGGAAGGTCGGGCGCGGTGGCTCACGCCTGTAATCCCAGCACTCTGGGAGGCCGAGGCAGGCGGATTGTTTGAGTTCAGGAGTTCAAG